GCTGGTGGGAATATAAAATGGTGCAGCTGCTAAGGAAAACAGCATGGCAGTTCCTCAAAAACTTCAGTATAGATTTACATATGACCTAGAAATTCCACTCCTGGGTATATACACAGAAGAATTAAAAAGACTCAACCAATACTTGCACACAAGTGTTCAGAGCAGCATTATTCACAAGAGCCAAAAGATAGAATTAACCCAATGTCCATCAACAGATGAATGGACAAATTGTGGTATATACATAAAATGGAATCTTATTTCTTAAAAAGGGATGGAATTTGACACATGCTACAGCATGGATGAACCTTGAAGACATTATGCTAAGTGAAAAAAAGCCAGAAACAAAAGGACAAATATTTTATGATTCCATTTATATAAGGTATCTAAAAATGGCAAATTCACAGAGATAGAAAGTAAAATGGTGATGACCAGGAGCTGGGAGTAGAGAAGAATGGGGAGTTATTATTTAATGAGTACAGAATTTCAGTTTGGGAAGATAAAAAAGTTCTAGATATGGATGGTGGGTGATGGTTGCCCAACAATGTGAATGTACTTAATGCCACTGAACTGTATACTTAAAAATGGTTAAAATGGTAAATTTTATGTTATATGTACTTACCACAATAAAAAAATGATTTAAAAAACAAGATCCAAAGTCTCATGACAAATTATGAAAATGTCCAAGATTCCAATGAAATTCATTCATACCAAAAATCAAGAAGATCTCACACTGAATGTAAAAAGACAATCAATAGATGCCAACATCAAGGTGACAGAGATGTTAAAATTACCCAATAAAAATACCCTATGCATGTGCAATTTAAAGCAGAAATGACAAAAATGCTTCAACAGGCAATTATGACTATGCTTGAAACAAAGGAGCTTATATTACTACTTAGTAGAAAATTTCATTAAGGAAGTTCTGTTCACAAGCAATATTTAATAATTTTAAATCTGCATGCAACTTATTAACATAGCCTCCAAATATGTAAGGTCAATGACAGAACTAGCAGAGAAACAGACAAATTCACAATCATAATCAGTGATGTTTTCCATGAGCTTCATAGTAATTGATGGGAAAAAATAATAAAAATTGGAAAAGCATAATTAAAAATTCTAATTTAATGGGTGTACTGTGTTATATATACTATCACAAACAACTGTAGTTGAATACTCATTATTTTTAAGAATACAGAGAATATATGGGGTGCCTGGCTGGCTCAGTTGGAAGAGCATGTGACTCTTGATCTTGGGGTCATGAGTTCAAGCCCCACATGGGGTATAAAAATTACTTAAATAGATAAAAAAAACTTAAAAAAATATTTTAAAAAAGAAGAATACAGAGAATATTTTTACAAAAATTGCCCACATATTAGGCCACAAAGCAAGTTTCAACAAATTTCAAAGGATTTAAGTTGCACAGAGCATATCGTCTAACCACAATGCAATCAAGCACTTGTTAAGAAAATAATAACAAAAGTATAACTAGAAAATTTCTTATGTTTGTTTGGAAATTAAGAAACATACTTCCAGGTGATTCATGGGTTAAAGAAGAAATCACAATAGAAATTAGAAAATACTTTGAACTTAACAGTGAAAATACTAAGTATCAAAACTTAATGAATGTAGCTATTTAAAAGAAAATAGCCTTAAATGCATTTAGGAATGAAGGTTGAAATGAGATTTTTTAAAAATTAATCTCAGGAAATTAGAAAAAGAACAGCAAAATAAACTCAAAGAAAGTGCAAGTAAGAGTGAAACAGGAGCCTCCGTACTTAAAAGGCAGTGGAAATAATATGCAAGTTTTTGCTTTTGTTTTGTTTTGCTTTGCTTTGTTTGAAGGGGTTATTCCAGGAGGACTTCCTAAGGAAATGTACCTGAACATTTTATAAATCCTTGCCAGCACAATGACTTTTTTCTTTTTGTAATAAATTGTGGTGTAAACATACACAACATAAAATTTATTATTTTAACCCTTTTAAGTGTGCAATTCAATGCCATTAAGTACATTGACAATGTTATGCAATCATTACCACTGTCTATTTCTAGAACTTTTTTATCATCCCAAAGAGACTCTACCCATGAAACAATAGCCACTCAATCCCCTCTCCTCTCAGCCCCTGGTAACCTCTATTTTACTTTCTGTTTCTCTGAATATGCTTTTTCCAGGTACCTCATATAAGTGGAATCATATAATATTTGTCCTTTTGTTTCTGGCTTCTCTCAGTATGTTTTCAAGGTTTGTCCATAATGTAGCATATGTCATTCCTTTTTTATGGCAGAACAATAATTCATTGTATGAACATACCACATTTTGTTTTTTAATAGCATATTAGTCCTCCTCATCATTTCTACTATCTTATAACAATATTATTGTTTACTAAGAGCTTATAGTCTAATTAACAAGTCTAATTCACTGCAAGAACTTGTGATTTATTGCTTGGAGTATTGCAAAACAAAAAACAAAAAACAAAAAACAAAAGCTCTTGGGTCTTTTTTGTTTTTTGTGGGGTTTTTTTTTTTTTTTTTTTGCAATACTCCAAGCAATAAATCACAAGTTCTTGTAGTGAATTAGACTTGTTATCACTTGGTTTATAGAGAACATAAAGGAAAAAATGGATTTTACACTGTAGTTTTTCCCCAAATAAATTTCTATCTGGTTTATATTCTCTTTTTTTTTAAAGATTTTATTTATTTATTTGTCAGAGAGAGCACAAGCAGGGGGAGTGGCAGGAAAAGGGAGAAGGAGCAGGCTCCCTGCTGAGCAAGGAGCCCAATGCAGGACTCGATCCCAGGACACTGGGATCATGACCTGAGCTGAAGGCAGCCGCTCAACCGACTAAGCCACCCAGGGATCCCTATAATCTCTTCTCATTAAACCAAGATTCTCTATTTGTTTTAAGATTGACTTCTACTATATGTTTCTCTCAGTTGGGCCAATATGCAAGAGTAATGCGAGCATATGTGACTAGGCAAAATATCATTTAAATAAATATGAAACAACCTTTCCTTATAAGGGAAACTTCATATGCCCACCAAAAAAGTTCCAGGGAAACCAGCCACAGCATATATTTATCGGGCTGATGTTTTGTTACATGTGAAAAGTCTTTTGAATAAATGAGACATTTTAAATATTTTCTCATCCAATCTGGTATTTAGTTCCCTATGAATTTTAGTTTATGTTCAATTTCAAATTTATTTGTTCTTGTTCAATTTCAAATTTGGATTATTTATCTCTTTGGTGTTCCTTCCTCTCCAAGAAAAAAAAATTAAGGGTGAGAAAGGGAAAAAAATTAAATTAAATCTGGCCAATTTAGTTGCTTATTAATAATGCTATTACATATTAAAGTATGATAAATTACTGGTCAAAAAATAAGGTTTGTGGTTAAAAAAAAAAGTGTACCTACAAAGTTCCCTGAGAACCTTTAACTTGTTTCATTATGTGAGCCTTCACTCTTTATATTTTGTATATTTTCTGCTACATGAAGATACTATTTTTAGCACCCATTTTTCTAAGCTTCCCTATTTATATTTTGGTATCAACATATACCAAATCACTTTGGATTCCCAGCATGGAGAAAACTACAGATTTACCTTCTCCCCAAATGTAAAACATGAATATAAAAGGGAAAAAATGCCAACAGCATAAATCTTCAAAGAGTAATTTTCCTTACATCTATAAATATCTCACAGAAATTAAAAACCTCTGGGAACTTAAAATTGGTCAAGGAAATAGATGTTTTAATTCTCCTAAGTATAGCACAGAGAATAAAGTTTGGTACCAACAACAACTTCAAAAAGATTATCTGACTATATCTTTAGAATATTTGAAGAAAAAATATTCTTCTCTTTTAAATATTTATTTATTTGAGAGAGAGAGAGAACACACAAGTGTGAGCTGGGGGGAGTTGCAAAGGGAGAGGGAGAGAATCTCCAGCAACTTTCCACTGAGTGCAGCACTGGTGGGGGCTCAATCCCAGGACCCTGAGATCATGACCTGAGCTGAGTCCACACTCAACCGACGAGGCCATGCAGGGCATCCCATTACTACTTCTTCATAAGAATTTTTGAGGTTTTTAGGTATTAAAAAATAATACAACTTTATCCCTTCTTCAGTTATATTGTTATTGACTGGGAGAAATTATGTAACTAAGAATTACGAGAATTATATTTTGGCACATATGCTTCTTTTTGGTACTTTTTTAGTACTTCATTTTGCTTTGTGTTATAGGTATTTGTGTATGTACTATATGCCCAACTAGATTATAAATGACTTATAAGCAAGAAACATAGTCTATTTCATGACTGCATTACCATCATGCCTAATGTAGCACTTTGCACATAGTAGGTCTCAAATATTGGTAGAATATAGAATTATTGAATAATTGTGTAAAAAATTATTTAAATTAACAGTGAAAAAGGAGGTTACTTTATTCTTAATCAGACTGTAATGAAGACTATTTCAAACTCTATGCAGTGATGATACACACAAATATTTAAACTATTTATGTGCCTCAACTTGACATAATTTTATGATAACTTGATGGCAATCACATTTAAATATATTAGAATATTTCTGTAATAATGCTACTCTAGAATAACAACTTTAATAGCTGAGAAAACATGTTAAAGACCATTAGCCTGAAAGAAACAGGAACATTAAACATTTTTTTCAGAAATCAATGTATAAGGTTAAACATTCCACTATAATATTTATGAGCAAACCTCAAATTAAAATTTATAAATGCAAACTATCAAATGTTTCAGCTAGACAATAATTTAGACTATATTTTATAATTTCTCCTGTGTACACATTGCTAAATACTATATAAAAATACTATATAAAAAACATTCTTTTCTCCTTTACTGTCTTTGACTGTAACTATCTAATATCAAAATGAATTTCGCTTGAATGCAAGACCATGGCAATGCTATAAAAGCCCTTAATTGTCAATCAATATGATATTAATCAGTAAACACAAGTAAGTGATTTTCTTTACCTTTAGGACAGCAATGAAGGGTATGAAGTTAGCTCGTTGGAGTCCATTTTTATAGAGATCTGAAAGAAAAAATTGCTATTAGCTTTTTACTTAGCCTAAATCTAATGTTAGCTCATATCTCAGTCTGGAAAATAAAGCTTTCTATTTATAAAAAAGATAAACACGCAAAAGAAAAAGAACCAAAATTGATTTCTATTCTGGTACTACACAAAATTCATTATATTCTTAATAAGAGGAAGAATTGACAAAATTATGAAAGAAAATCAAAAGACATCCAATCAAATTGGCTTTACACTATAGTAAAAAGCAATAAAAGAATTTGGAAGATATCACAAATAATCCTAAGTCAAAAACTCAACATATATATTTTTAAAGTATTTAATATTTCAACATATAGAATTTTACTGAGAAAGGGATTATACTGCCCTTTATCTCAATCTACAGTAAAAATTGTCAGTACAGAATTAAAAGTGTGTAACAAGATTAGCCTTTTAAGAAAACACATCAAAAGAGAACTGTGCATGTATTTGTATCAAGACTACACATTTAACATTAAGGTAAATGACACTAAGGCCACTTTAGAAGAAATTACCTAAGCTTTGCGCAGTGGCAGTATCATAGCCAATGAGGTTTATCCGAGACACAATTATTGCTAATTAAATTACCTCAAAATTAAAATTCCATTCTCAAAAGACTATAAATTTAATGCAGTTATAAAATAATAAACAGCTAGTATTTTTTGCCTTAGAATGGTGGTTTTTATATATGCATGTGTCACAGTGCATGTATGTTCAGATATATCCACACACATGAACACACACTGTCCAGGGCAAGTAAGTGGAAAGGGGTAACAAATTTTAAGTTTTGCATATTTTCTTTATTCTTCCTTTTTCCTTTCTTTCTAAAAAAAGAAGACTTGGAACTTTATTCAAGAGAATGAAATGTTATTGCATATAAAGCATTCCTTTTAAAAGTAAAATCTAAAGTAATGAGATTTTTTTAAAAGTATAAAAATGGGAACAGTAAAAAGTTTTTTCAATAACAAACCCATGAATTAGGTTATGTGTCTTAATTTTCCTTTAAATATGCTTTATAGGGTCCTTTCTATACTTTCTTGTTTAGAGAAAATTTGGTAACTGAGAAAGACTTCAACTGTCACTTTTACTTATGGAAATAAAATATGGTCATTAGGAAACATTTATTCTCTTTAGAAAAATATTCATCATAACATCATTATAGTGTAGAAAGTATTTGCAAAGCTCTTTGGTTAATTAAGGAGGCTTTAATTCAGTTACATTTAATATTCTTATTTAAGGATATTATAAAAGGTAAGATAATATTGGCCAGGCTGTTGGAACTTTCAAATTCAAAGTGAGATCCCTGCTTTCCTACAATCAATACCTCAAATGAGTAAAATAGGTAAAATGCAGGAAATGGTTATTAAGTTAGGTATTTTCAGAATCTTCCCTAATTATCAAGTTGTTGGGGAAGTTGCATATAAACACTGCTGTATGATAAGAGTTGACAGCTATGATTACCAATAAGTGGTAAAATTTGAAAATAAAATAATTTTATTTATCTTTTAAGTAGGCTCCATGCCCAACGTGGGGCTTGAACTCACAACCCCAAGATCAACAGTCACATGCTTCACTGACCTGAGCTCCACTGACTGAGCCAGGTGTCCCAAAATATAAGATAATTTAAATACACTCCATGTTTACACAGCAGCTTTATCTGGAATAGCCAAAAACTGGAAGCAATCCAAATGTCCATCATTAGGTGACTGGATAAGCAAACTGTGATATTTCTGTACAATGAAATACTACATAGCAATAAAAAGTAGAAACCACACATACAACAAAATAGATGAATCTCAAAATAATTACGCAGAGTAAGAGGCCAGACCAAAAAAAAAAAGGTATATACTGTGTGATTCCATTTATATAAAACTCCAAAAAAAGCAAATTAAAGTAAAGCTATGGTAACAGAAAGCAAATCAGTGGCTGCCTAGAGAGGGGCCGGCAGGATGACAATGACCGGGAGGGATTAAAACAGGAAAAGAGGAGTTTTGAGTGTGACAGAAATATTCATTATATTGATTGCAGTGGTAATTTTACAGATGTATGCACATGCCACTATTTTGTAAATTGTACCCTTTAAATATATGTCATTTATTGTATATCAGTTATACCTCAATAAGTTCTTTTAAAATTTATTGGGAAAAATACCAAAGTGAATATTGAAGAACACAGTGTTATAGAATTAACACTGAGATATTACACAAATGAAAGTTTATCTATGTTAAGGTAACTTTTTGGTCTCACTTACAGAAGAGTATCTTTGTTATGAACATATAAGACTCTGAGACGTAACTTAACAAGTGTGTACCTTTCAGTAGGGTTCATGACAATGAAAGGTATGAAAAGGCCCACTTGTAATATTCTTAATTGAAAGTTTCCACTCATCAGCAAAGGTAAAATCAAATAATACCTTTCAGTATTCAAGAGTAATTTTTTAAAGGGTTAACTGTTAAAAACACTCTGCCTTTATAAGGATATATAATCCAAACTTTATGCTCTGAAAAGTATTTTCTAAACAGAATTCCAAACAAAATTCATTTGGCTTGAAAACCTTTAGGTTTTTATAGGACACTTAAGTGAAAAAGAACTGTACTCATTAAATTGAAGAGTTTTTTGCAATTCAAATATTATGCTAATTATCAATGCAATAGATCTATCTCCTAAAATGTTACTTAGCTACCATTTTTTTTCATACCAGTTGTTTAATAGTCTATCAGACATAAAGATTTTATAATACATTTATATCAACATTTGTCATTGTTTACTAAATACTATTTAAAAATTCAGCAGAAGTTCTTGCCTACAATTTTTTAATGATCTCTAAACAGAGTTAAATGAGCACTTGGTCATATAAGAGAGAGTACTGAAATTATGGCACATTCATTTTTCAAGACTGGTAATGACCTTTACATTCTCCACAGTGAGTAACTATAATAATACTTACAGACAAAATACATGCAAAGAGGACTTTTAAAGCAATTACAAGGATCTAAATACTTTGGAGATGTACATGGATATACAGATTTTTTCCTTAAAAATCCAAGCATCGCAGAAGAGGTTATATACAAACCTAATGGTAACCATATATCAAAAACCACTAATAAATACGCAAAGATAAAGAGAAAGAAATCCAAACATATCACTAAACAATTCAGCAAAACATGAAAGAAAGACAAGTAAGGATCAGAGAACAAACATCTTTAGAAACAACCACAAAAAAATAATAAATTGACAATAAATACATATCTATCAATAATTACTTTGAATGTAAATGGACTAAATGCTCCAATCAAAAGACATAGGATGACAGAGTGGATAAAAAAATAAGACCCATCTATATGCTGCCTACAAGAGACTCATTTCAGACCAAAAGACACTTGCAGATTGAAAGTGAGGGGATGGAGGAACATCTATCATGCAAACGGATGGCAAAAGAAAGCCAGAGTAAAAATACTTATTCCACACAAAATAGGCTTTAAAACAAAGACTGTAACAAAGACAAAGAAGGACACTATATACTAATAAAGGGGACAATCCAACAAGAAGATATAACTGTAAATATTTATGCACCCAACATAGGAGCACCCAAATACATAAAAGAGTTAATAATAAATATAATAACAAAAATAAAGGGGGGGCACCTGGGTGGCTCAGTCATTAAGCATCTGCCTTTGGCTTAGGTCATGATCCCAGGGTCCTGGGGTCGAGCCCCACATCCTGCTCAGCAGGAAGCCTGCTTCTCTCTCTCCCACCCCCCATGCTTATGTTCCCTCTCTTGCTGTTCTCTCTCTGTCAAATAATTAAAATCTTAGAAAAAAAATAACAAAAATAAAGGAACTAATTGATAATACAATAACTGTAGGGAAACTTAACACCCCACTTATATCAATGGACAGATTTTCTAGACAAAAAATCGACAAGGAAACAATGGCTTTGAATGTCACACTGGACCAGATGGATTTACCAGATATATTCAGAAGATTCCATTCTAAAACAACAGAATATACATTCTTTTCAAGTGCACATTGAACATTCTCCAAAATAGATCACATTTTAGCCCACAAAACAAGCCTCAACAAATTCAAGAAGACTGAAGTCATACCATGAATCTTTTTGGACCACAAGGCTATAAAACTATAAGTCAACAAGAAGAAAAAATCTGGAAAGACCACAAATATATGGAGGTTAGATAATCTGCTACTAAACAATGAAGGGGTAAACCAAGAAATAAAAGAAGAAATAACAAGTACATGGAAGCAAATGAAAATGAAAATACAATGGTCCAAAACCTTTAGGATGCAGCAAAAGTGGTCATAAGAGGGAAATTTATAGCAACACAGGCCTACCTCAAGAAGAAAATTCTCAAATAAACAACCTAAACTTACATCCAAAGGAGCTATAAAAAGAACAACAAACAAAATCTAAAACCAGCAGAAGGAAGAAAATAACAAAGATTAAAGCAGAAATAAATGATATAGAAACTAAAAAACAAAACACAATAAAGCAGATCAACGAAACCAGAAGTTGGTTCTTTGTAAAAAAATCAATAAAATTGATAAACCTCTACCCAGACCTATCAAGAAAAAGAGAGAAAGGACTCAAATAAAATCACAAATGACAAAGGAAAAATAACAACCAATGCTACAGAAACACAAACAATTATAAGAGAATATTACAAAAAACTACATGCTGACAAATTAGCCATCCTAGAAGAAATGGATAAATTCCTAGAAACATATAAACTACCAAAACTGAAACAGGAAGAAATAGACAATTTGAATAGACTGATAACCAGCAAAGAAATTGAATCAGTAATCAAAAAACTCCCAAGAAACAAAAGTCCAGGACCAGATGGCTTCAGAGGCAAATTCTACCAAACATGTAAAGATGAGTTAATACCTATAATTCTCAAATTATTCCAAAAAATATAAAAGGAAGGAAAACTTCCAAATTCATTCTATGAGACCAGCATTACCCTG